TTTATGCGCGTGTGTTTATAGTCAGGCCTCCCTAAGAACATCTGCCCCCGCGACAGCCTGACAGAAGCCAGCTATGTATACAACCGATCGGGGTCGGGCTGCGGGCTACAAGCGCAACCCTGCGACCAGCTCACCTTCTCGAAGCTTCGGACCGGTTTGGGGTCTGGTTCTGTCGTCGTTCATGTGAATTAGTGGCAAAACTCTCTTTGGCCTGAAACGACCATGCTGCGTGCCGCCACATTAAGAGCGAAGCCATTTCAGAACCTGCTATTTGAATGTTTTCATTGCGAGGCCGAGCAAGCAGTTGGCTGCACCTAGAGGGAAATGAAAGGCCAAAGCAGTCCCTGGTAGCAGGCAATTATTTAATATTGATTGACTTGAATGAGAACAGGACGCATTTGTACCCTGTGATTACACAAAACATAGACTGCCTCGAGTGAATGAATCTGTTGTAAATCCCTGCCACCGCACACTATCTTACACAAGCGCTCAACCACAATGCTCTTTGCATAACACGGCTCTGTGTTCTTTGCAGACTTAAGCATAACTGTGTCACACTGGTGCTTTACTGCAGGGAGACTCTAGTATGTTTGAGCGGCAAACTTATGGAGTATTGATTGAAATGTTAGGAAATGTCTCACGCCGTATGGAAAGTGTAATCTCTAATAATAGGTGGGGGGTGGGGGCGGCCATGCTGATTGTGTGGATAATGCAGAGAGAGAAGAAGTAATTGGTGAGGGAACAGATCTCCTGGTGTGATAATTATCACGCTGATATCAGGGGGAATTTAATACCTGTTGTCGTTTGTGGAGAGCGTGCATATGTTTGTTATTTTACATGATTTTATGTATTGTAAAGGCTGAAGAGAACGAGAGAGTAATTATGCGCCCAGCTGCAAAATCGAGACATTAAGAGAAGAGCCGGTGCCTGCATCTGGGGCCTGGCACGGAGGAATTAACTGTGTATACGTCGCAGAAATGTAATTGATTTTAATTGATATGTATGGCATGTTCGAGCTGCTGCTCAGGAGGAACAAATCAATTTGACACCATTCTGTTGATATGAGCCGTCTCTGCCCATTTCTCTCTCAGTTCCTGTGCCTCGGGTCCATTCATTCAGCGGCCAAGGCTGCCTGCCAGCGCAACGCTCGGGGCAGAGGCTCGGGCTGACTGGACGGGGGTGGAGAACATGGCGGTGGTGGGGGGAGATTGAGGCTCTGTAAGGGGTTTTGAGTGGGCCTTAGTGTGGGCGGCGTTTTATATGAAAGTCGGTGAGGGCAGGGTGCTTGAATAGGGGTGGCTGGGAAGTTGGGCTGGGAAGGCCTAGGATGCACCCCACAGTGCTTTTGTGTGCTCTCACATCCGTGTGTGTGTGTGTGTGTGTGCGCATATGGGAAGGTGGGTGGGGGGTGTAGCATATTTGAGATCATGTGCTCATATTCACCAGTGGAATGTAAAAAGAAAAGGGTGGGAGGGTGGGGGGTTCTCCTCTCTTTTTGCTTCGTTGTTTTCTGTTCCCTCTCCACCACAGCGTAGGTATGTTTGCATAAGCTCTTTACAGGATTCAGCATGCTGTGGAGCCATCCAGATGAAACAAAACCAACCTCATTTGGTTGTTTTGAAAATGATTCTCTTTATTTTGCTTGGTTCAGGCAGATCCACCTCGTTTGACATGAGGGGAATAAAGGCTCTCTCACGTTCAGGGTCATTTCCCAGAAACATTATTTGTATCTGCACAGCTCTTCCTCTGTGCGCTCAACCTTCTTTCATCAACAGGTCTTAAAAAGTCTCCAGACAACATGAATGAAAGATGCAATTCACCCCCACCCCACCGCCAACCCCCTTTTTTCCCTTTTCGACCTCCTCAAAAGTACAATAATCTTCAGTCACTCGTCTCCTCCTCTTCATTGCGTGGCTGTGTGTAGCACCGGAGTGGCGCTGATTAAGCCAACAGAGAGACAAACAGGAGACAAAGTCCCAGCCCACCAGTTTAGTTTCACATCCTGGACTGGAGCTGGGCCGCAGCTTGCCAAGTGGAGGGCTTTTAAACTGGGCTAAACACTAATTGCTGCCCTATTTCTTTTATGTTGCTTCTTTCCCATCTGCGATGGCGCTTCCAGACCTCCACAGCAGCCAGAGCCTCATTATAGCAGACAGTTAACAAAGGCTGGGAAACAGAAGCGGAGAATTCACTTAGGATAGCTATCTAACTGCCAACTAGGAGGCCTGCTCGGAAAATTGAATCAATGACAGGGGCCGGCTCGCGATGAAATCCTTCAGGGATATTAAGATATTAAGATTTTTTGGAAATCTTAATTATTCATCTAAATGGTTGCGGCTCGCTTTGATAACGGAATAAATGGCCTGTAAAAGCGAGGAGTCCAGTGTGAGGCTACTCGTTTTAGTTGCTAGCCAGACTTTTAAATGTTTGAATCAGAACATTTGATCAAAAAAACCCCAAAAATTGCCAACAATTTACCTACAAAGAAAACAGAAACTGCAAGCTACTTGTTGAGTGAAACAAACAGCAGTGTAATCATGATGTTTGCCTCCTCTTTCTCCTTTCCCCCCCTGCTCTGTGGTTTCATGCTTG